TGCTTTAGCATTAAAATATATCATATTAAAATAGCCTATATATTATTATTATTATTACTGTCCCCTTACTGTACAAACTGTAAATAAATCTTTATTCCTGACTATGTGACGTCGCCATTAATGTGTTTCTAGTTAAAATATTGATTTTTTTATTTATTTATTTTTTTAAAAAAATTGTAGATTGGCTTAGGCCGTTTTTCTTCGTTTTTTTTTTTTAAGTCTATATTTTGCTTTACAAAAACGTGAAAAAGCAGCTGTGACCAAGCTATCATGAGGTGAGTAGCATTGTAAGCATAATTAATAGCGATATACTTCAGTTTGTCTGTGTGTTTTTGTATGCAAGCGGGTCTGCTGCGATGTCGACCTGGCCTCAGAAGTCCTGACATCCCAATCTGATTGAGAGCTCATGGGACGTGCCGGTACCACCAATCCACTGTGGGCCCTCTTTGGATCTGACCTGCCTCTGACCCGTTAAGTCATACAGGACGTCTGGGGGTGTCCTGTGGTGTTCGGCACCGGGGTTGTGGATCCTTTGAGCCCTGCGGGTTGCAAAGTGGGGTACCAGTATGTCCCACGGGTGCTTGATCAAATTGAGATGTGGAGACCTTGGTGGCCAGGTCAGTGCCTTGAGCTTTTTATCATGTTCCTTGGGCCATTTCTGAGCAGTTTTTGCAGTGTTACACGGAGCATTATTGGGGGGGACACTACCATCAGGGGAGTGTCATTGCCATGAGGAGTGACGTGCTTGGTCTGCACTTGGTCTGGGTAGAACGTGTCAGGTCATTACTTAATAGTGAGTGAAAGTCAACGACGGGAAGTGAAAGGGGGAAGTGGTCCTAATGATACACAGCATGGCTCGACTCGGTCATGGTGATCCTCTCATCACGTTTGATTAGTAGTTCCACTTCCCTTAAGCCCTTCGTGTCGTGTCGTGTCGTGTTGTGTCTTGTCGGTTTGTCTCTTCTGAAATGTTGCACGCTAGTTGATATACAGGTTGTTTAAAACAACAAATAAAAACAAATTCCAGGTCGTCAGAGGAGTAAAAGGAGGCCAGGGTCACAGACTTTTTTACATTTGAGGTGTTAGGGGAGTCGACATAATAACAGGATGCTGTGGCCTCGATGGTACACACTCCAGTTTTAGGTGTGATACAGCCCCCGAGTCTGTCAGCCAGTCAGTCTGCAGTCAAGCATCATGGCGATAACAACTCTGTGCGCTGTCGTGGGTGAGTACTGAATGTGTGTTACTTCTAAAAATTTAATTGCATCTTGTTTCTGAACAAAATCAATGTTAGTATCTGAATGTTAAATTGAAAATTTTACATTTTCAGTGACTGCACTGTATTTCAGTACTTGAAACTCAGGCAGTTGATACTTTTCTCAGACATATCTGTTTGTGACTCGCCAAGAAGCACTGAGATATGAACAACTTAGGAGCCGCGCCGTTAATCTTAATTATATTTTTAGCATTATGCAAATTTTGGATGTTTGTTTCTTAATGGTTTTATATTTACACTCTCTCTTACACTGCACTGTAGCTGCTGCAACAGTCTCCCTCGGAGTAAATAAAGTTCTTCTTATCTTAATACTACATTATTTTATTTTATTAGTGTAAAAATACTTAATACCTACTAATGACCAAGTAAATACTAAATGATTACACTTGTGTTAACATAAAGCATACACAAGTTGATCAGGAAACAAAAACTCACCCAACCGCAAAAAACAGATATTTATCTTTAAGCAGTGATGACGATGCAGCTTCATCTTTAAAATCGGCAGCTACTTTTTTTAATGTTTCTTTTTGTGGGCGACATGTGAAGCTTTGTGTCTCCTGCAGCTGCAGATGCTATCAGCTTTATATTGTAGCGTTGCATTCTAGACAAACAGAAAAGGCTCATTTGCTATTCTCGACAATACACTTAAAAGAATGTTACATTTTTCCCATTGACCCCAACAGTGAATGCAGCAGAGTTTCATACAGTTTCATTGCTGTTGTTGTTATTGACGGCTGCAGAGAAGCCTCACACAGTGTTCTAAATAACATCCGCAGTGAAACAAGAAAACAAGAAAACGTGAAGGTGGCGAGCTTGCCGAGCGTCCACACATCAGCCACGTTTTCCTGCTCCACTTCTGCAAGAATCTAACGTTTTCTGTTGAGATGCTCTGACAATTAACATCTCAGTTAACCCTTTATCTGTCTGTTTCATGCAGCCACTCTGAGAGTCCTTCCCGACAGAACCCAGTTCTTCCAGTACGAGTCCGTCTCTCTGAGCTGTGAGCAGCAGGGAAACTCTTCTGACTGGACAGTTAAGAGGAACACAACCACAACTGTAAAGCGAGAGCCTTCTGGAACTTGGAATAATATGAATGAGTCCCACCGCTTCATTGATGTCCTTTACCCATTAGACACAGGAGTGTACTGGTGTGAGTCTGCAGCAGGAGAGTGCAGCAACACCGTCAACATCTTTGTGACTGGTGGGTTTAAACAAAAAGACAAGCTGGGGCTCTTAAGAGGAGATAAAACAATCTCCTCAAGCAATCCTCCAGTGAGACATTGGACATACAGAGGTTTAGGTCATCGACTGTACATTCAAATGTCACACAACACTCATAATGTAAGGATTTGACAGCTTCGACTTCTGATTCTGCATCCATGTGTCCATATGAATGCAGAATCTGTAGGAGACGAGATAAGACTTTGATATCAGACGCATTCTGGTTTCCGTTCGTAGTTTGAGTAGTATTGACCAGTCGTGTTTGAGAAGGCGTTGGTTGCATGCAGGTAAACAGTCCTTGTGGAGAGCGAAAGACGCACTGACCAAAATGCAATCTCTTCACCCACTGGCTATCATCTGAAAACGATCTAGCTTTTTATTAACTTTATTACCTGGCTACTGGGGAGATAATCCAGTCGAAGACATCGTCTCTCAACTCCATTCTCGCATCTCAAGTTGCTAATCGCACAGAAACAATGGCTGGCGCATGGGAGAGGAAGTCTAGGTTGGAGTAGAGGTCTAGCTACACCAGAGCCCCCAAAACAAGACGAATTTGAGTTTCGTAGGATAGCAAAGACATGACTGGCTAGTACTCATTACCTTTGTTGGTTGAATTGGTAAGGTTCAGGTGAGACGAGTGAGTTTGTTTAGGGTAGGGATGTCAGGGTTAGCCAATCAGAGGCAGACTAATTCAGTGAGGGGCAAGTCAAGCCTTTGCTATCCTAGAAAACGCAAATTTGCACCCCCAAGCCTCCAGGAACGGAGCCAGGCCTTGACGCTAATTTGGTGGCCAAACCATGTAATTTTTTTTTCCATAGACTTACATTGTGTAGCTGATATAGCTGAATCCAGAGTTATTTCCTATTGCCATCTATTATGTGTGTGAGGACGAGACAGAGTGGTTAAGAGGCAGAGTTAAAGGAAACGCTAGTGCGCCTGATCAGGGTAGTTTTATACCTGGTTATCAAATCTTTTGTGGCTTCATGCACCACTGTACAACTTTCTGAGGAATAAATGTGGCCTCAGTATCCAGTTCTCTTTACGTATCAAATGTTGACCCCAGAGGCTAAACTGTCATCAGAGTGGCAGGGCAATGTGTTCGGAGATCAGGTGCATGTAGAAGAAGGAAACACATTGGTCTGACTGCTGTTGTTCTGTCCTCTTCAAACGATCATGTGCAGACATCACTAATGATGTTTCTGTCTTTCTGTCACTCAGCTGGTTCAGTGATCTTGGACAGCCCAGTCCTTCCTGTGATGGCGGGAGATGCTGTGACTCTGAGCTGCAGAACAATGACGACTTTCCCCAATCTCACAGCTGACTTCTATAAAGACGGGCTTCTCATCGGGAGCAGCTCTACAGGAAACATGACCATCCACAGTGTTTCTCTGTTTGATGAAGGATTCTATAAGTGCGGAATCTCTGGAGCTGGAGAATCACCAGACAGCTGGCTGACTGTCAGAGGTGAGAGCAAAATGTTGCTCAAAGTCAGCATGGGCTCAGAGATTTACGCAACTTAGCACAAAACCTGCCACCCACGCACACTGAACTATTAGTTTGTTTGCATTGAGGCCAACCTGTGGTATTTCTGTTTCGAAGGAAGCCGTCCTGAGCTGCCTGACTCCCCCATCACACACATTATACTTCCTGTGGTGGGTGCCTGCCTCTCGCTGGTCTCGCTGGTCTGTGTGATGCTGCTCTGCCTCTGGAGGAACCACAAAGGTTAGCCTGTTTTCATGTCAATAAAATGACATTTTGCATCCTGTCGAGGAGGTCGTACACCGAAAGTGCTGAGTGCAGAAGTTTATTCTTGAACTTGCCAACAGTGGTGTGCATTAAAAACATTAATCTTAAGGTCCACGAACAAGATACATCTTTTTGTTGATTTTAAACTGAACTACCTCCATGACGACTTAACAGAGTCATTTTGCTGATGAAGGCCACATAAAGCTACAGGCTGGACCTGGAAGATGTTTGAGTAGTTGCTTTTCAATGGCAGCAAGTGTGTCCACCCACGTAACACTGACCTCAGTGCTGAAGCTAAAGCAAACATACTTTGAAGTCTTACTATTCATTTTAAATAGAGCAGTTAAATATTTTGAGTTTAAATGACGTCAGTAGGTGGAGTAATGTTCGTCACGCTGCTTTCCATCTCATGTTTGGTTCACAACATTGAGTTTTTGGAACCAAACTTGTTAATAGGACACCCTTTTCGTCCTGTAATGGCCAGTTCAGACCAAAGATTTGTGACGAGACAAGCTGAAACAGGCAACTACTTGCTGTGCGCCGCTCTGCAACGTTCTAAAAACCTGCCAGTTCACACCAATGCAACTAGATGAGATGGTGTATCATCCCTATGCAACAACTCTCTGTACTTCAGTTCCAATTTGCAGCTTTTCAGGTTTATTTTGTGGGTGAACATAATTTGTAGCTTGTTAAAATAGGAATGAGGATAGTGGTAGTGAGATACTGGCTACAGCTGCATTTGTAGTAGTGATGAAACGGTAAAAATTAGAAACAAAACGAGCATCAGATGGACTGTGTTCATAATAAATATGATAAGCACGTTCTGTACAGCAAGCAGCAGCAGCAAAACTGAGAACCACAGCCAGTAAACACGCCATCTGTGGTCATTTTGACTTGACTTCACTACAAGCTGATTGGCTGGAGAAACAGGCGACATGCTTTACATTCTCAAACCAGTTGCTGGCAGTTAGACGAGCTGAGCTGCAGATGACACCATCAACCGGCTTGAGTTAAGCTCAGACCAGCCACTTCACACCTCTGCAACTCTGCAACTGCTTAAAACACATCCTACACAACCAATAAATCAGAGTCTGATGATTCAAAATGGAAAATATTAAAGTTGTTTCCATCATCATGTCTATGGAGCAGCTACAGACTTTCTAACCTATGACTCCAACTTGAGTTTTAGCACTCTAGTTTTTGGATTTCAGAGTTCATGATGTGTACTAATATTCTTGGACCGTCTTAGACCTTAGGAAGAACATGTTATAATTTTAGTTAAGTTTTGAGGGTAACTTCATGCTGATAATTAAACTACCCTTTAAATTAAAGCAGTGTGGCTGGTAGCCACCAACAATCTCCATTCACTGTTCACTATTTGTTTCCTTAAAGCCTCCCTCCAGTGTATTTTGGCATTCTTATGATATTCCATATTACTCTGAGTCCTGTCCTGACAATGTTGGTGAGTCACATTGTTTGCCAAAAAATTTTGTGACATAAAATTTTATGTTCAAAGTTGAAAATAAAAGGTTGTTGCGAACACACAAAGATGACTTATGGCTATAACAAAATCTACAAATAATACTCCATCCCCAAAGCTTGTTCAGGTGCACTGTCATAAACACCATACACATAATAAGCAAGCTAGTCAACTTATCTTACAATTTACCACAACTGTAGCATGATAGCTTTAGTTATATCTCTCTGTGTAGTTCTCCTTATTTAGTGTGTTGTTTATTTTGATCATGGCATTTGTGTGCAGTGAACTGCAGCAGTCAACGAATTACACCAAGTCACACCGGCACAACTAGCACAACACACGTGGCTATATGCACCACAGGGTGGATATATATATTACTGAGGTCCACCATCTAAAGTACAGAGTTTGGTGTTGGTGCTGAGCTGAGGCGAGTGTGGCTGATGCTGATGAACAATGAACCTCCTAAACATCCCATAACTCCATTTCAAACAGCAGACTTCAGCAGCAGCCAAAATGGCGCCTCGTCACCACAACAGACAGCAGGAAGTTTTTGTGCTGGTTGTTGTCTCATTTGTGCTCTGAGAAACAGTTAATGTGCCATATTGTTGTTTTCCAAACTACTGTAGCTGCAGTCTGGTTGCTAAAATAACAGATTAACATTATGTTTGACTACAGGAAGTTTACAGGTCCTTAAAAGTCTTAAAATTAGATTCAATAGGTTTTAAATATTTTGTCACATTACCATGAAAATTTCTCCAGCCTGACAGACCCAATGACAGTTTATATATTTTTGTTTAGTGGTATATGTACATGGATTGTTTGAAAACTTACAGATTATTAAAGGTTTCAATATTTTGAGTATGTAAATGTATAACAGGGTTGGAATTAAAAAAGTTTGTCCACCTGCCACTGTGGCTGGTGGAATCCAAAATCTAACAGCAACTCAGCAGCTTATCTGGCTGGTGAGTGAAGCAAATCTTTTTTCACCAGCATTTTGCTGATGGTGCTAATTTACTTCTCTGAAAGATAATATCAAGGTTTTCATACACAACATCATGCTATTCCATGATGGCTGAGAGAAATTATCTGTTTCTGTCTGTGGTGAAATCAGAACAGTTTGTCCACATCTTTTATTGACCCAGAAATAGGTTTTCAGGTTTTCTTATTTTAGTAGTAATTGCGTAAAATAAGTGGATACAAAATTGTTGGTATGTCACAGTGACAGGTGTTGTGCTGCAGGTAAAGTCGACCCTGATGTCCCCTACACTGATGTCACCATCACACAGGAAGTGCAGCCAAACAGGATCAGAGGTAAACACACAATAACCACACTCAGATACATTCTCATCTACCTGTTCCCAAAATCAATTACAAAAAACTACAAAATTAATCTCAAATAATCATATGAGATTTAAACTGTAAGTCTTCAGCTCTTCTACTGTAGAACAGTCAACTTACCCGTGTCTCTGTGTCTCTGTGTGTGTGTTTGATTATCAGCGACTGTAACATGAGTCATTTCTTCCACTGTGTCATGTGTTATGTTACGCCCATCAGGCTCATGTGTGTTTGTTAATGTCTGCCTGAAACGGAAGTTCTGCCCTCTCACGCATTTTTTTCCTGCACTCTCATTGGTCCAACTTGATGTCATAAAAACTATCACCAAGGTTACCAGACAAAACACTTGGCACCAGATTGCGGCTCCACCCTGAACTGCATCACCACAGAGACTCACCTGCTATTATTAGACTGACTGAGTTTCTATTTTTAACTTTTATTGATATGAAGTGACATTATCAATATGATAAAACCATGACAAAAAATAAAAACATTGACATAGAAGGATAAATATTATGATTATAAAACAAACAATTAATACTTTATGACTGTAGAAAGTAACTAAGATATATATGTTTAGTCAAGTCTGGGTGTTACTTCTACATGCACAGTTCTGTTTTTATTTTATTGTTTGATTCTAATCTAATATATTATTCTTAATATTTTTCTCCACTATAACTCAGAGAGAAACTTCATCCCAGTTTATCTCTCTGGCAGCCATACCGATAGTTACTAATTATTTTGGAGTTGTTGTGAAGCCACTGATTGAATTCATAACAGTCAATTTAAAATTTTATATAAAAACATTAATTTTATATGACGCATTGTTACAATTTAAACTATCCCTTTTATTTTTAGTTTCTATTTTTTGTTTTGTGCCTGCACATATTGTTATCTGGTTTCTTTCACAGTAGATTCACACGTCAGAGTTATGGACAAAGGTTTTATTTCCTTTTTGAAAATAACCTGATACTGTTCTTCTTTTTAGTCATTGTCTTTTTGGACTAAAACACTCCTTTGTTCTCTGTTTTCTGCTAGTATCAATACGTCACACAGCTGAAACACATTGGACCACTTGGTTCATGTTGTGAAACTGTCATGGTTATGTTTAGGAAACAAAACTTCTTGGAGAGGTTTGGCGTTGCTTTGTTGCCGGCCATTTTCTCCGGTGTGTTAAATACACTTTAGAAAGGAGTGTCCCCAGACTATCAGAAGGCGGAGATCTCTGATTGTCTGGTGGCGAGACTACAGTGCATGATGACCACATGGAAATTACGTTATGCTATAACACTTTTGTTTTTAGATGGGACATGAACTACGGTGTTCTGCATGACAGTAGGTTAAAGTCTTATTTCATCTGATCTGGCCCTTCCACATCCTGCCACTCGCTCTACACAGACTCTCTCTCTCTGCTCTCAGCGTCAGATATGGCGGAGGGATTTACATTGGAGCCAGGTGCGTGTCTTTTAAAGTTAAAGGGGGCCTTTGGCGTCGATAAAGCACGCAAAGGGTCGTGAGAAATGAGAGCAGGCTGGTATTGTTCTTCGGCGATAAAGGCCTCGGCATAACAGTGACAGACATATGTTACAGTGTCTCTATTATTTTGTCCACCTAATCAGTGCTGTGCCTGGCATGTTAAAAGTTTTTGTCTTTCCTTGACAGATGTGGAGGCTGCACCGACCTTCTACTCAACAGTGAAACCTGGAAACACCTGACAGGAAACAGCAGCCGTGATGGGGAAATGTATATTTACACTTGGATTTAACAGGAGAAATGTTCTGTGTGCTTTTATAGACATTTTCTGACCAGCCTGCCTGAAAACTGTCCATGTTTTCAGCACAGGTGTAGACGCCGCATTGACTGTCAGACCATTGTAGCAATACATCAACGTTGCCACCATATTGAGAGGTTAACACTTGCCTGTAAACAAATGAAAGCAATCTGGAGAGCGCGTTCTTTTTCTGAATAAAAAGCACTGTAATGTTTCTCAACAGATTTCAATGAGTCGTTTTTTATATTCACGCATTTAAGTTGGAAAAAAGTTTTGTCTCCTGTTAATTATAATCTCAATATTAAGGCTAAATTCTGCTTGACACTAGAGGAGTGTGCATTAGACCAGTTAGAACCAATCACAGGGTCCAGATTTCTCCTTCATCATTAATTCAAGGTCCACACAGTTTAATACATTCAGGTACTGGTTTGGCCATGTTGTAGAGCTAGTTTCAGCTGGTAGCAATCTGCAATTCTCACCACTAGACACCACTAAATCCCCCTAAATATGACACACTGAACCCTTAAGTTAACTTTGAATGCAGGACTTTTACTCATAATAGAGTATATTCACATTGTGGTATTAGTACTTTTACTAACGTATAAAATCTGATGCCTTTTCCACCACTGTTTATTTCTAACATATCTGTCATGGTATTTCCCTTCTACTCATACAGTCTTGTGCTCAGTTCATGCTACTGTTATGTTCCCAGTCAAGGGGAACCTTGACATAACATGCTGTGACTCCCCACTCTTCCCACTATCAAGGACGGCCAGTTACACAGAAACAAATGTGAAACACAAGACAAAAACTCCTAACATACGAAACAAGGGAAAAGAGCATGGCAATGCCAAAAAAAGGTCTTCTCACTCTTACTAAAACTGCTTAAAAGTGCTTCATTTTCAGTGCTCAAACAAAAGAATACAAGAAAACCAACTGATAACTCTAAAGAATTAAACTGCAAACCAAAACTAAATTCACCTACTCAAATCTGATCAAAATACTTTCCTAAATAACAACGTTATCAACAACTCACACCAGTTAACAATGTCAAAAGGTTTTTGCCTGCAGGTACTCACAAACAAAATGTTGCGGGGTTGTTTTTCAAAAGTCCTCAAAACTGGGAAAGCACAGGCGAAGTCACAGTGCAGACAGACAAAAAAAAACACTCTTCAAATTTCAAGATGTCACCAAAAAGAGAGTGCTTCAATAACTCGTGACAAAGAGCTCAAGGCATCAACCTGGCCTCCAAAGTCCCCAGATCCTAATCCGATCGAACATCGATTGGGCATGCCGGCACCTTTCCTCACAACCTACAAGACTAAGAGGATCCTTCAACAACGCCTTGGTGCCAGACAACACAGGACACCCCAAGAGGTCCTGTCTCTATGCCTCGACAGGGCAGATGCCCCATCAGAGATCGGACTTAGCTCTGACTCATCAAGGATCGGACAAGGGACCTCCGAGGCACTGGTTTGTCCCACAGATGCTTGATTAGATTGGGATCTGTGGAATGTGAAAGTAAAGTCGATGTCTTGAGCTCTTTGTCATGCTCCTTGGGCAAAAATAAACAACTAACTATTTTTGGTGCTGCCCTGGGTGCTTCCTTTTTTGCCTCGAGGAAGATCGAAAATAGACGGAAGACAAAAAGTCCAAAGAGCCGAGGGGAACTGCTGAGTCGTGTCATATATCTCTACGGGTTCATGACATTTTGCACAGCATGTTGTTATTTGTTTATATTGCTTACGTTAACATTTTTAACAGCGCAGTTTCTAATCTTCAAGTTCCCATGGCTTTCAATAACTAATCTCTTCTGAGTGCAGTTAATTATTAGTGTTGAAGTGCTTCTGAAGCCTATTTTAAGCAAAACAAAGACTTTGTGTAATGTTCATAGATGATGAATCTGGTATTTCCTCATAACAAACACTTCACTTGTTTGACAACAGGAACCCCTTCCTATTATCTTTTCACTATTTAAGACCCGCTTTACAACTAAACTTAGTCTTTTAAATGCTTTTAAAAATAAAGATTAGATGTCACATAAAGGGCCAAAAGACTTCCACTTTTCAGACAAGTTTAACCCAGATATTCATACATCCCCAAATCAACGTCTGTTTTGTAAACTTTTAAAGCGACTTGGGATCTTCTAACATGACACCATCACAGCAGCATACTGTTAAAAGGCAGCTTATCATTTCCTTGAAAAATCACTGAAAACTTCACCAGAAACTCTGACTCATCCACCTGTTTGTGTCTCGTTTCAAGTGAGCTTACAGAATGAACAGAAAATGCACACTGGGGGAAATAACAGTAAATAAATAATAAAGCGATGCTCCTCTCATTAGTATCTTGTGACTTTCTGGCAGCAGCATCGGGAAAAGTACTCTGTCATCCTCGTAAAGCCCAGCTCTGTCCCTTGTTTGTCAATTCAAGAAAAATTCCCTTTGTTTCCTGCCATCTAAACAAAGGTTTCATTAATAAATCCCTTTAACTTGGTGCCACCATGAGGTTCACATTATGTTTTCTATCAGAATGTCTTGACAGCTACTGGATAGACTGCAGCAATTTTAGTTTGGATAGTGATGTTTCTCTCTGGATCAGTTGTAAGAAGTTTGATCGTCCAACTTTTCCTCTAGCGCCTTCATCAGGTCAACATTTCCGTTTGTCTGATAACTTTTTTTTTATTAAAGGTATTTTTGACGGCATTTTTGCCTTTAATCGACAGGAAAGCTCAGGGCGAAAGGGGGGGGGGGTGACATGCAGCAAGGGGCCACAGGTTGGAATTGAACCCGGGCCACTGGGGCAACATCCTTGTACATGGGGCGCCTGCTCTATCCACTAAGTCACCAACGCCCCATTTGTCTGATACTTTTGGTTCACAACAAAAAGCCTGTAGAACTATTAACAGTCTGAGGTTTCATCCAAGATTAACTCTACTCTACAAGACAGAGCCTCAACATCAGGTAATGATACTGTTGTTGCCTTCAAGAGAAACTTCGGTACGTTTGAATCTGGACCTCATTTTCCCAAGTTTTTGTGTCGATGTGCAGCGAATCCAGTTTCGTCAGGTCTCTACATGGAAAATCAAACATAGATTTCGTCTTAGCTGTAATTATCAAGATCTACGATAAGCTTGTCATCATCAGGTTTTCGTCTCGTTCTTGTCCGACAACCTGGCCAGCCGCCCCAAACACTTTTCAGAAATTAAAATCCAATCCGGGTCCATCAGGGATCTGCACTGTAGTTGACAACGTAAGCAGCTAATCAGGGACTGTGCTGTAGATGATGATGTCAAATGTAGGCCGCAGCTTGCAGAAACAGTAATGGCAGGTCCTGACGCAACAAGTGTTAATTCTAACTTGGGCAAGTAAACACAGCACTAAGTGAAGTTATTGCAGAAACAGAGTCAATAACAGAGTTTCTCTGAGGGAAATATGTTTCGCTGTTCTTCCAACTGGATTTGGCTGAAGTTTGTTTATCAACTGTGTCCGTTAGTGATAAAGAAGATGAATGAATGTCATATTCTACATATAAGATTTTTATACCAAAAATAATATATTCAGATGTTTCAATATTTCGATTAGTAACTGTAATTTAATGACATATTATTTCTCAGTAACTGTGACTAATTGCAGTTACGTTTATTTTGTAATTTATTATTTAACTCTGTTCCATGTAACTTGTTACTGTGCAGCACAGGTTGTACTTTAGGACATCAAGGCTCACTGAAACCGTTTGAATGGTGACATCTGCTGGACGATCTTTGATACTGCATTAGTATAGAAAGAATATGAGTTGACCTGCTTTAATATATAACCTTTATTTATTCTCGAGAGACATTGAGGTTACCCTCATTTTACATGCCATCAAGTTGACAAGCCATTAAAATATTGACAGTGATTACACACAACAATATACATTTAACAAGAAAGACAGTCATCTTAAACAATTACAATTAGAAACACAATTATCTATGATTAAGATCCTAAACTCTGTGAGTGAAGGGAGTGTGTCTAATTTCAGGATGTATTGTAGTGCGTTCCAAGAGCTAGGGGCATCATAACAAAAGGCAGTCTTACCAATACTTGTACAGATTCGAGGAACTTTGAGTTGCAGCATTTCAGCTGAATTGGTCATGTAAGTGCCTGAGTTCCACTCCAACAAATTTGCAATATACTGTGGTAATTTGCCTAGAAAGGTCTTAAAAATATATATAAGCCAGTGCCTCTTGTGCCTTTCCTCAAGAGAGGGCCAACCAACTTTTTCATACAGAACACAGTGGTGAGTATCATATTTATCACCAGTTATAAATCTAAGGGCTGAATGATAGACCGATTCCAGACTTTTCAAAGTTGAGGCAGCATCATGCCTATAGATAATATCACCATAATCCATAACAGACATAAACACTGCTTCAATTATTACTCTTCTTGAGAGCACTGGGAAACAAGATTTGTTTCTGTACAGAAAGCCAATTTTTTGTCGCAACTTTAAAATAAGTTCATTAATGTGATATTTGAATGAGAAATCCTCATCTAGCCAGATGCCAAGATATTTGTACTCTGTGACTCTCTTGATTTCTGAGCCAGTTTTGGTGTATAAATGCACACTACTGAAATCAATGTTTTTGGCTTGGGTAAACATATCTTATTTGCATTAAGAAGTAGTTTATGTTTGCAAGTTATTGATGGCTGTATGAACAGAATCCGCAGTACAATATAAAATTGTGTCATGTGCATAAAAATGGGCATGACAACCAATTAAAGAAGGAATAATATCATTAATATAGACAGTAAAAAGCAATGGACCCAAAACAGACCCTTGACGTACACCCCCACTAACTGACAAAAAATCAGATTTTGTATGGCCAAGCTTAACACATTGATGCCTGTCAGTCAAGTAGCTCTGAAACCATACACATGCATTTTCATCCAACCCCATTGCATCTAATTTTCTCAAGAGCAAGCGATGACTGCTACATGCCTGAGTCCTGAAACAGACAATATGAATTATCCATTAAATTTTCTTCTGCAGAAAGTTTTGTTTTCTTGTAACAAAGTTGGTTGAGGTTATGATTCCTTGTGCTACAAGCACCTGAGGGTTTATTGGCTCAGTGGCTAACATTATTAGCACAAGTCTATGGCATTTTACATGGTATACACTAGCCTAGCAACTAGCGGGGATTTCCTCTGCTCATATGAAGCCAGGATAAATCACACACAAGACTTAAATGCTATATTGTGGAGGCTTTATTGCCTTCTCAATGTATTGTTCCTTATCTTTGAAATACAAGTTATTAAAAGCTTTGTTTCCACTGAGGGAAATGGGTTCGGCTTACCACAATAACTAGGAGGTCTGCGTCGCCACGAGATGTAGTTTCATTTCTGGAAAGGTGCACGTCAGGATATGGCGCAGGTTAAGCGGGATTTGTAGTTCTCCGTCGTTACGTGAAATCCGAAATCATGTCAAAATGACAAAAGCTCTCATCTGCTGAGAGGAGTGCAAAGAAAGAGCATGAATGTAAAGGTCATGGGTCATGGCGTGTTCAATGTAACCTCGTAAAATGTAGCTCTTGGTGAGTAACTTGAATAAATCCACCTGTTTGAAGGAGAAATTAGTTGATGTTTTCACAGCACGAAAAGTTTTTCATGTGAAAGAAGGTCATGTTGAAGGTTGTTTCATAAATGTGCGTGATTGAATTTGTGCGTATTCAAAATGAGGGACTGAATGATTTTAAAACTGTTCATTTATTTATTTTTACAGTGTGTTTCCCTGGTACACAAGAAGAATAAATAACAACAACAAACTTGTCTGGGGCAGCAAATAAGCTAGGATCACCACTGATTTCATATCATATGAAGCAGCCCACGTCTTTTATAGTTCTGATCATTTTAATCTTTCAAATGAACGTTCTCGTTGCTGAATGGGGAAACCCAGAGATGACTGAACAAGTTGGTAACAAGCACCGTGATACCGGTTATCTAAACGGCCAAACTTCCCCTTGCTGTCAGACAGCCCTGTACAATTGTAAACTGATGCGGTTACATGATGCTCTCCTAAAAGCAACCAGACCACTGACAGAATCAGTCATTTTCCCTCATAGAACACAATGAGTCGCTGGTCTTCCGCTGCCCTTCAATCAGACAGTTAGTTTGTGTTGTTGTGTGACAAGGCTTATCACCAGCCTATCATGTTTTCGTTATAGTGGGTGGCAGAATTGGAGTGGGAAAAGCCTTAGCTCCTCCTCTGCATGCAGCTCTACTCCTGGAGAGTACCCCTCCTTTACTCCTATCTCTTGAACAGTGTTGGCTGGCTTTTCATTTGTCTGAGGAAACATGGCTTCAGGCGCCTTTTCCAGATCTGACTTTCAGTTTTGAGTCACACAATACAAATACACTCTCAGCACATTTAATGATGTGATAGATAATTTGATGATGTACATGTGTGATCTAACACAGATGTTGTTGCCACTTGTAACACTTTCTTCTAACTTTAAATCTATCCTGCTTCCTTGTTAATAACAATCATAATAATAACAATAACAATACTAATAATAACAATAATTATAATAACAATAATAATGATAATAATGAACATGATTTATAAGAGATAAACACCTATGTATACATCTGCATTCATTGAAAAGGACAAAGACAAAAGGACCTACAATAATAAAACACAACAGAAAAGAACCAACTAATATTGAACATAAATAAATATAGAAAACAAAAAAACAGAGAAATAAATAATCACTAACAGTATCCTGTGAACACCTAGTGACTGTCACACCCCCACTTCATCTCTGTATCCCACGAAAACATATTCTTTGTATTTTGTTTTAGACTGTTGCATGTTTGGACATTGTTTTAACTCATCACCCATACTATTCCAAAGTCTTACCCCACCGAACGAAATGCAAAATCTTTTCTTGTTTGTACGGATTCTGTTAATTTTGAAGTTGTATTTTCCTCTGAATTGATAACCCCCCTCTCGATCTCTAAACAAGAACATACTCACTCACTTTTCCTACAGTCCAAATTATTAAAATTTACAGACATAGTGAAATTCAAAACAGCACAAATCATGTACAAAGTGAATAATAACCTTCTACCACAAAATATATAGACATTGATAGCCGACATTATGAATGACCCGTATTGTCCTTTTTTGAAGAATAGTTAGTGAAATGATTGAACTCATACAGTTACTGCCCCAGATCTCTGCACAGTAATTGAATTATGGTAAGACAATGGAACAGTATAGGATGCGGAGTGATTTATGATCCAGAATCTGTTTTGCTTTGTTTAAAACTGAAATGCTTCTTGGTAGTTTGGTTTGTATATGTCTGATGTGTGGTTTCCAACTGATTTTCTCATCTATTATCACCCCAAGGAATTTATTTTCATGAACCCTTTCAATCTGCACCCCATCTATCTGTATTTGTACTTGTTCGTTAATCCTGTGATTCCCAAATAACATTATTTTTGTTTTATTTAAGGTTAATGATAATTTGTTTCTGTCAAACCATATTTTCAATTTGCTCATATCTTTAGTGACTTCGTCCAGTACTTCTTTTAAATTCTCCCCAGAACCAAAAATATTCGTGTCATCAGCAAACAACACCAGCTTCAATACCTGTGACACCCTACAAATATCATTGATATACAATATAAATAGTTTAGGGCCCAACACTGACCCCTGGGGGACACCACAAACAATGTCCAAACATGAGGAACAAACATTACCCAGCATAACAAACTGCTGTCTCTTCTGTAGATAGCTCTTAATCCAGTCTGACACAATACCTCTGATGCCATATCGTTCCAGCTTTTTCAGTAATAGATTATGGTTGATTGCGTCAAAGGCTTTCTTGATATCAGTAAATATTCCAATTGCATATTTCTTTTGCTCAACAGCATTTGTGATTTCTTCAATTGCTTCTATTATTGCTAGTAGAGAGAAATTTGTGTTTTACTACGAATGTATCCAGTCTATTATTGAAGAGTTTTTCTGGTATTTTGGAAAATTGTGGAAGTAAGGAGATAGGTCTGTAGTTGGTGAAATGATGTTTGTTCCCAGTTTTGTACAGCGGAATGACTTTGGCTATTTTCATTTTGTTTGGAAATGAACCAGTTTGAAATGATAAATTACAGATGTATGTTAATGGTTTTGAAATCCCTTCAACGACCTCTTTCACTATTGTCATATCAATGTCATTATAATCAGTTGACTTTTTGTTTTTACATTTTTCAACAATGTCCAATATTTCTTTCTCTTCCACCGCTTTGAGAAACATTGAGTTGGGATTTCGTTCTATCAATATATCCATATTGTTTCCAACTGTCCCTGGATCAGAGATTTTTTCTGCAAGGTCGGGTCCCACATTTACAAAAAATTTATTTAGATTGCCAACCACATCACTTCTATTACAAATTACATTATCCTTATCCATAAAGTACTCTGGATGGTCTATTTGTTTAGAACTACTTCTTATAATACTGTTTAATATACCCCACATTCCTTTAATATTGTTTTTATCATCGTCTAATATTTTCCTATAATAATCTTTCTTGCTTGTCCTTATAATATGAGTTAACTTTTTTTTTCTTTTATATCTATTTTCTGCCTCTTTAGTTCTCAGTCTTATGAATTCTCTGTGTAGTGTTTTTTTCTTTTTGCAGGCGTTTTGCAATCCCTTTGTGATCCACGGACAGTTGCTATATTTCAGTTTTCTTGTATATTCTTTAATTGGACAGCTTTTGCCATATAATTGCTTAAAAACCCTCAAAAATACTTCATATGCATTGTCCACATTGTTTTCTTGGTATACTGCCTCCCAGTGTTGTGCCAGTAATTCATTCCTGAATGTGTTTATTGATTCCCCTGACCTCATTCTCCTGTACTCTATTTGCTTGACTGTCTTTTTTGTTCCTGTGATTGTAATCATAGATAATAATAAAAAACAGGTAGATGATCACTGATGTCATTAATTAGAATACCACTTATTGTTTTGTCTTTAATGTCATTAATGTATATGTTGTCTATCAAAGTAGCACAACTGAATGTAATTCTGGTGGGTCTGGTGATTTTTGGAAATAGACTCAAACTGTACATTGTATTAATAAATGAATCTGTTGTTTTATGCATATGTGGATTTAATATATCAATGTTGAAAACACCACATATGAAAACAACTTTTTTGCTTTGTTTTGAAAACATACCCTCTATCCATTCTCTGAAAATGTCAATATTTGTACCTGGTGTCCTGTATATGCAGCTAACTACAATATTCTTATTCTTTTCTTCACATATTTCAATGGTTATACATTCTAGTAGGTTGTCAACCACAGTTGTCATACTTTCAATTACTTTGTAGTTCAGGTTTTTATCCACATATATGGCAACTCCTCCCCCACCTTTGTTTTTCCTGTTTATATTCCTTAATTCACAACCTTCCAGTTCAAAGTCCATCCTTTTTTCAGTATTGATCCAAGTTTCCGATATTGCAATTATGCTAAATGGATATGAAATGTCTGTAAATATTCCTTAATATTATTGAAGTTAGCATAGACGCTTCTGCTGTTGAAATGGATAATTGATATTTAGATATGAGTTTGAGTTTGATGAGGCTGTTACAGGACTGACCAATATGGTTTTTCTCCTGTGTGGGTTTTCATGTGTTGGTGCAACTGTCCAGTGTGTGTAAAAGATTTCATACATACACGGAAGCTGAAAGGTCAATCTCTTATTTGAGTTCTCATGTGTTTAAGTCTTATTCCATATTAAAAAAATGTACAAACTGAGCAGCTGAATCACTTTCCTGTATCATGAGTTCTCATGTGTGTATATAAATTTCCACTCTGTCTAAATGATTTCCCACAAACTGCACAGCTAAATGGTTTCTCTCCTGTATGGCAGGTCATGTGTGCCTTAAGGACTCCACTATTACCAAATCTTTTCCCACACTCAGAGCAGCTAAATGGTTTTTCTCCTGAATGAGATCTCATGTGTATCTTTAGACTTCCACTGTGAGCAAATCTTTTCCCACACTCAGAGCAGCCAAATGGCTTCTCTCCTGTATGAGATCTCATGTGTTTTTTCAGATTTCCACTTTGACCAAATCCTCTCCCACACTCAGAGCAGCTGAATGGTTTCTCCCCTGTGTGATATCTCATGTGGTCCTTCAGATGTTCACTTCGACGAAATCTTTTCCCACACTCAGAGCAGCTAAATAGTTTCTCTCCTGTGTGCGATTTCACGTGCTTCTTCAGATGTGCACTTTGACTGAAACTTTTCCCACATTCAGAGCAGCGAAATGGTTTTTCTCCTGTATGAACTTTCATGTGTTTCTTCAGATCTCCACCTTGACCAAATGTTTTACTACACATGGAACAGCTAAATGGTTTCTCTCCTGTATGAGATCTCATGTGGACCTTCAGATTTTCACTATGACCAAATCGTTTCCCACACTCAGGGCAGCTAAATGGTTTCTCTCCTGTATGAGATCTAATATGTCTTTTCAGATTTCCATTTTGAGCAAATCGTTTCCCACATTCAGAGCAGCTAAATGGTTTCTCCCCTGTATGAGATCTCATGTGTTTTCTACAATCATCACTGTGGAAAAATCTTTTCCCACACTCGGAGCAGCTGTATGGTTTTTCTCCTGTATGGGATTTCCTGTGTCTCTTTAGATGTCCACTTTGACCAAATACTTTCCCACACTCAGAGCAGCTAAATGGTTTCTCCCCTGTATGAGATCTCATGTGTTTTCGAAGATCTCCACTATGGCCAAATCTTTTCCCACACTCAGAGCAGCTGTATGGTTTTTCTCCTGTATGAGATTTCCTGTGTCTCTTCAGATCTCCACTTTGACCAAATACTTCCCCACACTCAGAGCAGCTAAATCGTTTCTCATCAACAATCAAATCACTGACAGGGACTTCATCATTTTCCAGAGAGTTTAAACCTGACTGAGGTTCTCTGGTCTCCGTCCAATCATCACTGTCATCAGTCTCAGGTTGTAAATGTGTATCTGGATCTGAGTTCCTGGCTGGTTCTGCTCCTCCACAGTCCTCTCCCTCTGCTTCTGTTTCCATCTGTTCAGTGTGTCTTTGATGAAGCTGTGAGGACTGAGGTTTCTCTTCATCATCTTCACTCTTCACAGGGACAGGAGTGAATGTGAACTTGGTGATATCATCCTCCTCCAGCCCTTGAAGCTGCTCTCCCTCCTGACTGATCCAGAGTTCCTCCTGTTCCTCTTTAATGTGTGGAGGCTCTGGGTCCTTCTGGTCCACACTGGAGCTCCGCTCCTGCTGCTCAGGGGGAACCTCTTCTTTAACCACCGACAGCTGCTGGACGTCTGCAGGACATTGACCAGCTGCAACATTAACATGATGAACACATTAATGCTTCAATAATTACATTCTTGAAACATACACTTTGATGGAGTGAAACATGATACAGATATGATCTACTTTTGCGTTTCAAAATAAGGTGTTACAACGGATAAATACAAAATACACTTTGGGAAATCGAATTTATTGGATCCTCATCACAGGAAGTAAACACTAGGGCTGTAGTCTCCTGGTCGACTAGTCGATTATTTGGTCGCTATGTTCTCGTCCGACCAAATTCTCATTAGTCAAATAATCGCCGTGTTACTTTCATAAGGAGAAAAGTGCTACATCAACAGCTTTCCAGGACTAATTCATTATTTCCTGAGGTGGGGGGACAGGCTAAGTTACCTGTGAAAATGGGGGTGTTTTCAAAACACCACCGTTGTTGACAGAAAGTTGGATTCGCCCACGCTCAGCCTCGCGGTGACGCAGACCTCCTGTCAGTTTTTGTATACTGACACCTTTTCCCTCAGTGGAAACGAGGCTTGTATCTACTTGTATTTCACAGATAAAAAACAATAAACTGTGAAGACCGTAAAGCCTCCACTAAAATAGCATCTTAAGTCTTGTGTGTGATTCATCCTGGCTTCATATGAGCAGAGGAAATCTACACTCGTCGCAAGGCTAATTTATACAATGTAACATGCCATAGGCTGGCGCTAATAACGTTAGCATGTTGTATTTGCTCGGAAAAAGTGTTTAGTATAAGACAGTTGTTTTGTCGGTGAACCTTGTGAGTTGTAATGGAGCCAAATTATGTGCCGTTACCTTTGTTAGATGTTGCTGTTGTCCCTGGCATGAGAAGAGGAAAAGATCGCTAGACACTAGGCTAATTTATACAATGTAAAATGCCACAGACATGTGCTAATAATGTTAGCATGTTGTATTAGTGGGGGAAATGTGTCCAGATAAAGACAAGTGTTTGTCTGTGAATGCTGCGAGTTATAGTGAAGCTGATTTGTGTACTTGTGTTTGAAACTGTCTCTATTAAGCCATGTTTAATGTGTGTTTAATGTGTGTTTTGAATCAACTATATAAATAAAGTTCAATTTGAACTAAACTTTACAGCACTTAACACAGTACTCCACCGTCAACTAGTGTTTTGGAGGTGTAACTGCAGAGTGACACAGACACACCACCGCAGAGGTAAAAAAAATAACGTGCAGATTTTTTTCCCCATGACTAATCGATTAGTTGAAGATTATGTGCGACTTTAGTCGACCAAGATTTTCTTTAGTTGACTACAGCCCTAGTAAACATGCTACCTGTGTCCCTTATAAATTAGGAAATCCCAATTAAATGTTAAAGAGCCTGTCTATAATAAATATCCAAAGCTACCGAAGCTGAGGGTTGAAAACAGCGTCCAGTAGTTTCCGTTGTCGCTCGTTCTCCTCTTTTGATCGACAAAGTTCCTCCTCATACTCTGCTATCGTTCTTTCAAACAGTCCAAATATCTCTTCAGCAGCCGCAGTTAGTCGTTAAAATAAATATCCAAAGAAAAAAAACATACTGCATTAGAGCCCGAAGGAAAAATAGCTAACTAAATCAGAGAAGCTAACGACACCAGAGAAGCTAACTACGACAGAGAAGCTAACAACACCAGAGAAGCTAACGACACCGGAGAAGCTAACGACACCAGAGAAGCTAACGACACCAGAGAAGCTAATGACACCAGAGAAGCTAACGGCACCAGAGAAGCTAACGACACCAGAGAAGCTAACGACACCAGAGAAACTAACTACTAGGGATGGGCAAACGATCAAAATTCATTATTCGATCATCAAAAAAATTAACGATCAATTATCAATTAATTGATAAGCGAGTATTTCAAAAGAGAGAAAACAAAAGAGTGCAGTGCAGACTGTCGCCGCAAGAGAGCGCAGCTGCCCCAGTTTTGAGCTTCAACCCCCCAGGCCAAAGAGGAAGAATGGCGCGCATGCGCAGTTCACCCCTGGGTGTTTACAACCGTTGCCAGCCAGGGTTACAGGCTTCGGTTTTCAGCAAAACCTCCGTCTTTCAATGGCGTAGTGTTTTCAGAGGCCTCAAGGGAAGCCGCAGAGGCTTTGGAGAGCGACGAGAGCCTCCGTCTGTCGTCTGTCTGTCGAGCCGCCGTGCTCGCCGGGCGCGGGGTCTCGTTGGCACGGCGGCACGCCGGACCTATGCCAGGCATTGTAGAGGAAACACTGCGACTATCGATCAAAATTATTTGTGATCGATCAAAAGCCTTAAAAATCAATCATCGATAATCGAAAATTGATGCCCATCCCTACTAACGGCACCAGAGAAGCTAACGGCACCAGAGAAGCTAACGGCACCGGAGAAGCTAACGACACCGGAGAAGCTAACGGCACCAGAGAAGCTAACGACACCGGAGAAGCTAACGGCACCAGAGAAGCTAACGGCACCGGAGAAGCTAACGACACCAGAGAAGCTAACGGCACCGGAGAAGCTAACGGCACCGGAGAAGCTAACGACACCGGAGAAGCTAACGGCACCGGAGAAGCTAACGGCACCGGAGAAGCTAACGACACCGGAGAAGCTAACGGCACCAGAGAAGCTAACGACACCGGAGAAGCTAACGGCACCAGAGAAGCTAACGGCACCGGAGAAGCTAACGGCACCGGAGAAGCTAACGGCACCGGAGAAGCTAACGGCACCGGAGAAGCTAACGACACCGGAGAAGCTAACGGCACCAGAGAAGCTAACGACACCGGAGAAGCTAACGGCACCAGAGAAGCTAACGGCACCGGAGAAGCTAACGGCACCGGAGAAGCTAACGGCACCGGAGAAGCTAACGGCACCGGAGAAGCTAACGACACCGGAGAAGCTAACGGCACCAGAGAAGCTAACGACACCGGAGAAGCTAACGGCACCAGAGAAGCTAACGGCACCGGAGAAGCTAACGGCACCGGAGAAGCTAACGGCACCGGAGAAGCTAACGGCACCGGAGAAGCTAACGACACCGGAGAAGCTAACGGCACCAGAGAAGCTAACGGCACCGGAGAAGCTAACGGCACCGGCACCACAGAAGCTAACGACACCAGAGAAGCTAACGACACCAGAGAAGCTAACGGCACCGGAGAAGCTAACGACACCGGAGAAGCTAACGGCACCGGAGAAGCTAACGGCACCGGAGAAGCTAACGACACCGGAGAAGCTAACGGCACCGGAGAAGCTAACGACACCGGAGAAGCTAACGGCACCGGAGAAGCTAACGACACCGGAGAAGCTAACGGCACCGGAGAAGCTAACGACACCGGAGAAGCTAACGGCACCGGAGAAGCTAACGACACCGGAGAAGCTAACGGCACCGGAGAAGCTAACGACACCGGAGAAGCTAACGGCACCGGAGAAGCTAACGACACCGGAGAAGCTAACGGCACCGGAGAAGCTAACGACACCGGAGAAGCTAACGGCACCGGAGAAGCTAACGGCACCGGAGAAGCTAACGACACCGGAGAAGCTAACGGCACCGGAGAAGCTAACGGCACCGGAGAAGCTAACGACACCGGAGAAGCTAACGGCACCGGAGAAGCTAACGGCACCGGAGAAGCTAACGACACCGGAGAAGCTAACGGCACCGGAGAAGCTAACGGCACCGGAGAAGCTAACGACACCGGAGAAGCTAACGGCACCGGAGAAGCTAACGACACCGGAGAAGCTAACGGCACCGGAGAAGCTAACGGCACCGGAGAAGCTAACGACACCGGAGAAGCTAACGGCACCGGAGAAGCTAACGGCACCGGAGAAGCTAACGACACCGGAGAAGCTAACGGCACCGGAGAAGCTAACGGCACCGGAGAAGCTAACGACACCGGAGAAGCTAACGGCACCGGAGAAGCTAACGGCACCGGAGAAGCTAACGACACCGGAGAAGCTAACGGCACCGGAGAAGCTAACGGCACCGGAGAAGCTAACGACACCGGAGAAGCTAACGGCACCAGAGAAGCTAACGACACCGGAGAAGCTAACGGCACCAGAGAAGCTAACGGCACCGGAGAAGCTAACGACACCAGAGAAGCTAACGGCACCGGAGAAGCTAACGGCACCGGAGAAGCTAACGACACCGGAGAAGCTAACGGCACCGGAGAAGCTAACGACACCGGAGAAGCTAACGGCACCAGAGAAGCTAACGACACCGGAGAAGCTAACGGCACCAGAGAAGCTAACGACACCGGAGAAGCTAACGGCACCAGAGAAGCTAACGGCACCGGAGAAGCTAACGGCACCGGAGAAGCTAACGGCACCGGAGAAGCTAACGGCACCGGAGAAGCTAACGACACCGGAGAAGCTAACGGCACCGGAGAAGCTAACGACACCGGAGAAGCTAACGGCACCGGAGAAGCTAACGACACCGGAGAAGCTAACGGCACCGGAGAAGCTAACGACACCGGAGAAGCTAACGGCACCGGAGAAGCTAACGACACCGGAGAAGCTAACGGCACCGGAGAAGCTAACGACACCGGAGAAGCTAACGGCACCGGAGAAGCTAACGACACCGGAGAAGCTAACGGCACCGGAGAAGCTAACGACACCGGAGAAGCTAACGGCACCGGAGAAGCTAACGACACCGGAGAAGCTAACGGCACCGGAGAAGCTAACGACACCGGAGAAGCTAACGGCACCGGAGAAGCTAACGACACCAGAGAAGCTAACGGCACCGGAGAAGCTAACGACACCGGAGAAGCTAACGACACCGGAGAAGCTAACGACACCAGAGAAGCTAACGGCACCGGAGAAGCTAACGACACCAGAGAAGCTAACGGCACCGGAGAAGCTAACGGCACCGGCACCACAGAAGCTAACGACACCAGAGAAGCTAACGACACCAGAGAAGCTAACGGCACCGGAGAACCTAACGACACCGGAGAAGCTAACGGCACTGGAGAAGCTAACGGCACCGGAGAAGCTAACGACACCGGAGAAGCTAACGGCACCGGAGAAGCTAACGGCACCGGAGAAG